TCCCTTAGTTTTTCAAATAGGCTATTTATGTGACATGGACTGACTGTTCCAAGGAGAAGGGTTAAAATTCTTATTATTACATTCGCCAGTTTATGCGTGGCGCTGTCTATTCCTGTGGTAATCGGGCACATCGGAATACCTGTTTTGTGGGTTTTTTATATATATATATATATATATATATATATATATATATATATATATATATATATATATATATAAACAAAGGCAAAGGAAAATCTTAGCCGACGAGTTCGTCCTCTGGGGATTTTTATAAAAAAATCTGCTTCAAAGATTTCATTTTGTATTGATTAATATTGTCCGTCTACAAATATACTCCATCTAAAAGTTTTACACACACACACACATATATATATATATATATATATATATATATATATATTACTTAAAAACGTTTTAGTGGATAGCCGTGTTTGAGTAGATTCTCTGATTTTTAAACAGTGGTATTATGTTACATCTATCGGTCTACGAACTTGAGAAAACCTAATAAAAAAAAATGTGTTTTCGGTCATCTCCCTTTGTAGGAGAAACCATCGTCTGGTCCAAAAACTCGGTCACATAGAGCGTCACTCTGACTCTCGAGTGCCCAGAGGCTGGCAGATGTAATACAGTTTTTAAAAAAAAGTGAATCCTGCCGAAACACGGGTATCCAATAAAAATAACATTTGGAGTAAAAAAAAAATGTCAGGTTCAAAATGAAACTCTCTATCTATCTATCTATCTATCTATCTCTCCTCTCTCTCTCTCTCTCTCTCTCTCTCTCTCTCTCACTCACTCACTCCCCTAAATATATGTGTGCGCGTCGCGTGTGTGTGTGTGCATGTGTTATTTTCAGATAAAGTATATTTGTAAAGGGACAAAATATTATTTAAACAATATTCAATATGCATACCCACAATGCACCACTGACCCCTATATATATATAAATAGCCGAGAAAAATAACAGCACTCGTGGCCTGACGATTGCATCTAGCATGAAACAGACTGTCGCCTCTAAGTGTTGACTTCTATGTTCACTTTTATATTTACACACGCTCTATCTATGATATTGATCACTTTATCCCATAAATATAGCATATCCTAAGACTATATATACATATACATACATACATACACACACACATATATATATATATATATATATATATATATATATATATATATATATATATATATTTGTGTGGGGACACAATTTTGCTGAAAGGTTCTGGTCTCTGGCTACTTTCCCAATTTAAGTAAATAACAAAACGTAATCTTCCTGAAGTTGGGACTCGAATCTTTTCTTAACCGACTATATAACGAAATAACGCTTTTCTACGGCTATTGCATAGGGAAATCATGCTGTCAAGGGAAACGTTGTGTTATAGGGCTTACTCGCATATTCCTTTTTTTATTAAGCCATCTGACAATAAGATTGCACAAGGAAAAGCGGATTTATACTTTCCCTAGTTTAAAGAACAAAAGCTCTAAACTGGAATTCGATCTCATTTTTCCAAATCCGTTTTTCTTGTCGATAACCGTTAGAATGACATGTTCACAGAAAAGAAGAGAGGAGAAAAAAGAAGATAAAGAGAAAGAAAATAGGCCAACATGAAGAAATAAAGATACGATGAAAATAACAAGGAGCTGAAACAAAACGAATAAGAGCGTTAACATAAAAGAATAAAGAACGACACTAACAAGAAAGAAAAAATATAAAGAAAGAAAGAAATAGCGAAAAAGAATGAAAGAACGGAAAAGAAAGGTAGAAAAAGAAAAATGAAAGTATGAAAAAAGAAAGATGGAAATGATATAGAAAGAAAGAAAAAAGAAATAAAGAAAAAGAAAGAATGAAAGAGCGAAAAGAAATAAACAAAGAGCGAATAAGAAAGAAAGAAAGAAAGAAAGAAAGAAAAAAAGAGCAAAGAAAGGAAGAAAGAATAAATGAAAGAGAGAAAAACTGAAAGAAAGATGGAAATAATATAAAATGAAAGAAAGAATAAAATAACCGAATCGGCCCCAGCGAACCTGTTAGTCTTTAACAATCTCCTCAGTAGACCTAGCATAGATATACTATCTATGTGCCTCTGATTAAGAAATTAGAGACACTAAAAAAACTTCACCAACTGAATGCAAACATGGGATTAAAAGCTCAAAAATGACACCAGTGGATTGTTCAAGAAATTAAATCGTTCGATAGAACATGTTGGGTTCTTCGGTTGTGGTGAGTTTCCGTGTAGTCGGGATAAGTCCTAAACACTGATTCAGGGGAGGAAAACATCAGCGATATATGTGTCTTTACAAAAGCGGAATGAGAACAATTCTCACAATATAAAAACTTCCACGAAGCTGACTGGAAAAGGTCGGAGAGTACAACAGCACAACAACCAAAATGAGGATACTAATACGAATGGAAAGGCAAAAAAAGTGATTTTTCTCACTTCAAATATTTCGACAGAAAGATTGATTGATTTTTATATTTAACGGCATTTAATGCCGAAAATTATTTTCTATGGAGATTTGAAGTAATAAAAATATGTTATTCTGCTTTCACAATTGAATACATGGTAGATAATACTCAGCTTTTGTGCATATACATGTTTGTGGACATAATTACTGATAGGCGGTGATATGCATAGTTTTGTTGAAGTTATATTTAAGAATACAGTCTGATTTCTTTAAGAAATTATAGGATACTATATGGATCAATATCATGAAAAAGTTTTTTTTTGTGTTGATTGTTTGGTTGATTGATTTTGTTTAGTGGCATATCAACCCCTATGCGGGTCATTCAATGCTGAAATGTAAATAATTTGAACAATTTTATGGCTAACAACTAAATATATTCTGAACGCAGTTGTATGCTTTCAACTAGAGATAAAAATGTATCGTTAGTGACGTTGCTTTAAAAATGTATTGTTGCTAATTTTATTATGAATAGGTATTGTTGCTATTTTTCACATAAAATGTATTACTGGTATTTATACTATATATACTATTATACTTTAATGGTGTTTTGTATTGGGGTTCACTATTTGCCTATAGCTGGGACCCTAACTGGTGCTACCACCCCGGCTCACGGTGGAACAAAAGCAATTAAGAGGTGGTTCTACGCTCCTCAAAACCTCCAGTCTCACGATCAAAGACCTTGCTGCCGGATGTAGTTAATCGTCGTACCCAGGACTTCGACAAAAAGAAAGAAAGGCGTTAGAAGAAAGAAAGAATTTAAATTGATTTGCTTTATTTTGCGACTTATCAAACCTTTGTGGGTTTCGAACCCTGAACTATCACCAATCACAATAAATGGATGCTCAATCAGGGAGGCACCTTTGCCTTGATCATATATTAGGATTAATCACAATGCTATCCTCTACCTTTACAAATGACAGATCAGGCCGAAAATGGAGTACTGCTGGGAACTTCCCAGTCTTTACATTCCAGTCTCTATAACGTCCAAAGAGTCTCCGCGTCTTTATGGCTGACACATTATTTTCCACCCTCCTATTTTTCCAACCGCTTTTTCACAAACGGAATGTCGTAAGCCTCTCACTGATCTATCGGTATTTCTATGGTTAAGTTTTCACATTTACTTTCCCTACTACCATCTCACGGCTAGGACCCTCCATACCACGCCAATTGTAGCGAACCATTTTCATCCACTTAGTATACCATTGTTGAACTGTAACTTGCACACTCTAACAGCTTCATCACACGCATCGCTGCTTTGTGGAGCCGACTCTCAAGAGGATGCTTTCCGAATCCCAACAATCCTGTACAAGCTGTTCAAGTATAGCGTTGATAGGTATCTTTCATATATATATATATGCAGAAAGTCTGCCTCTTACTCTGTACCAATCTATTTCGAGTAGTATTGTACAGGGTGAACATGATTGTCAAAAAGAATATGCCGACATTTTTAGGAATGCAAGAATAATTCTTTATATTTTAACAAATGAATATTGCATGAACATTTTTTTGAAAATAACAATGATTTTTTCCAGATATAAATCTTACTATTTAACCTGTAGTAATGGATTGATACCTTCTCGTTCGATCATTGAAGTTAAGCAATGTCGAGCCCGGTTGATACTTAGGTGGGAGTCCATTTGGAAACACGGGGTACTGTAAGCGACCTCCTACAATTCAAAAGATATTTCGGCTTTAAAAAACACACAAAGGATTGATAAACTGTAAATCAAATCAGTCAAAAAATGAATATCACAAAATCGATTTCTCTCAATTTCGAATTCTGAGCCGTTACACCACCCGCACATCCAGGCATGATGGAAAGGAGGAGAGAAATAAATGAGGGAAGAGTATAAAGGTGCATAACGGGAAGAAAATAAAGCAACACTGGTAAAAAATAAGGTATTGAATGGATAGATGAGAGAGAGAAAGAAAGAGTGAGAGAAAGAGAGAGGGAAAATAGAAAGAAAGAGAAAGAGAAGTATAAAAAGAGAGAGAAATAGAGAGAGAAAAGGAGAAAGAAATTATAGAAACTTAAATAAAACGAAGAGATTAAAAAGCGAGTAAAAGAGGAAGTGTTTTGTATACGCGAGTGCGTAAGAGAGCAGGAAAGAGATCTAAGAAACCTCATGGAAGCTCGAATATTGCCTGAAAGGGTAAGAGTTATGTAAAGATCAAAGAAAAAAACGATGTAGAAAGAACACATACCAGTGAGAGAGAGAGAGAGAGAGAGAGAGAGAGAGAAGCAACGAAGTCGAAAGAGTATTCCCCAATGGAGCAAGAAGACATGCGCAAAAGAAGCGTATCTAATGCTGCTCATAGTAATCAAATCAATTCAAGTGTTACACCATAAAATATTGTTGTTCATGTCAGGTCGGCGTTTTAAGCAGCGTTTCCCCAAATTTCTTGCAGTCAACAGATTCAATAATCGTTGGGAATCCGGCCAAAAGTTATCTGATATACACCTTGAAACAATATGATCACTATATTTTTATTATCGCCTGCTTCTTCCATTTTGATTCGATAAAATCCATGTTATGCCTTTTTTTCCTTCTATTCCTTCTCTTCATCCAATCACGCTCATTATTTCGAGTCTTTCTTTCGTTCTTTTTCTCAATTCTTTCGTCTATTCAAATTTACTTTTCATTCCTTCAGTCTTTTATTCCTTCAAATCAGATAACCTCCGTTCTTTAGCTCCACTACTTCGGACATTTACTACTAAGACACCTATTACTTCCACGGAATCGATACTCTCCCATTTCCTTCGTATTTCAAATAAGGAAGAAGTTACACTAAGAAAGTTTTTTTTCCCCCCAAGAACTGCTACTTTATGGAAGAAACTCCCTCGCTGATGCTTCCATAAACGCTATAATCTTAACCTCAGCAAGTCAAGTATTAATCGTTATCTATCCACCTTTTCCCAAAATCTTCATTTTCTAACACATTTTCTTCCATTTATATTACACACCTCATTTAGTAAGCTCCCCATTGAGAGGCTCTCGTGCTATCAATTGGGTGAAATATACTATAAAAAATGATATTTTCATTCTTTTTCTTCAATCTTTTTCTTCATTCTTTTCTTTTTCTTTCCAAATCAGCCACTCGCGTCATTCATTCTGATTAGATATTTTCTTAATCTTTATTCCTTTTCATTTTCTCACTTCTTCATACTTTCATTCTTTCTCTTCATTCATTCACACTTTCATTCTTGCTATCCTTTCTACACAATTTCATTCTCTCTCTTCATTCATTCATTCATTCTTTCAGTTTTACCTTTGATTTCTTCACACTTTCATTCTCTTTCTTCATTCATTCACCCTTTCATTCTTGCCTTTCCTTTCTTCACACTTTCATTGTTTCACTTCATTCATTAACCCTTTCATTCTTGCTTTTCTTTTGTTCATACTTTCATTACCTCGCTTCATTCATTCGCCCTTTCATTCTCGTCTTTTCTTTCTTAATACTTTCATTCTCTCGCTTCATTCATTCACTCTTTTGTTGACCATGTTCGCCAAGTCTATGAATATAGAATACAGCGCAGTACGTAATCTGTTCAATGAAACAACGTTAAAGATTAACACTCACCAGCAGCGGTTCCCTAAATCTTCAGTCTTCGATATCAGAGGTTGGTAGTGAATATTCGGGAAAAAAACATGGCCGCCTTTATAAACGTCGCATTGAATATTCTAAGCCTTCTGATTAGTTAACCCTTCTATTGGTGAACCATAAAATGAGTCAGCTCATTTTGCCTGGCTCACTAGTAGTAAAGGGTAACCAAAAGTTCCAACACCGCCCCATTTTGGGTACATTATGGAATCTTCTTTCAAAATATTAGTAAAGACAATATTCATATGGAACAAATACTTTAGTATTCAAAAAATATATCTTTTTTTTCTTTTGTAATTAATTTTTTTTCTTTTTGTATTTTTTTAAAAATTAATATCCACAAAAATTAGTTATATCATTTTGTCCACTGTTAAGTATTTCAGGTTAATAAACATTAATAACAATATTATAAATTTGGGTTGTGATGACAACAAAAAAGTAGAAAAAGTTGTTATTTTACCCATAGCTGAGATCCATTAAAACAGGCACTATCACTCCGGGTCAGAGTGATTCTGGGAGTCATTCAGAGGAGGATTGGAGGCCTATTTACTTTTATACACCGAAACTAAGGACTCACATTCATACCAAAAACTGACGTCTCTTAAGACAATAACTAATGGATACCCAGAACTAATAAAACCTTAGAGAGACTTAAGTGATGCAGTTTTACGTCGTGCCCAGGAGTAATAAGGACCTTAGAGATCAGTACCAAATATGACTTGAATGAAAGCTCGTAATTTCAATTTTGTAATTGCCTTTGTAAACAAATCCGACGCGTTATTTTCCGATTGAAAATATTCAATTTGTACTATTTTCTTTTGTACCTGATCCCTAACAAATTGATATTTAATATCAATATGCTTTGATCTTTGATGTATTATTGGATTTCTAGCCAAAGCAATACTGGCCTGATTGTCACAGTAAATAGTTATAGGCTCATTTATTATCAGTGTTGTAATTGTTTTTATTAGTAATTTAAGAAAAATAGCCTCTTGTGTTGCTTGCGGCAGTGCAATATATTTCGCCTCACAAGTTGAAAGTGAAATCATTCCCTGTTTCTTATATTTCCAGCTAATCATTGGATTATCTTTTGCCAATCTAAAGCAATAGCCTGTGATACTTTTACGATCTGGTGAATTTGCCCAATCAGCATCACAAAATCCTTCCAATTGTAATGATTTATCTGATTGTCGAAATACTAGACACCGATTCTTAGTTCCCTTTAGATAACGTAATACTTGCTTAGCTCTTGTTAAATGCATATTCCCCGTTTTATTTAAGTTTGGGAACAACTTAGTAACCATATAGCAGATATCTGGCCTGGTTGATGTCATGACGTAAATAAGACTTCCAACCAATATTCTGTATTCTTTCTCACACGCCGCTATACCATCTTCATTATTCATAATTGTGTTTAAATTCATTTCACATGGAGTAGTTCGTGTTTTACAATTTTGCATGCTGAATTTAGATAAGAGCTTTTCGATGTATCTAGATTGATTCATTGTAATAGTGTTGTCCTTAAATTCGAACTGTATACCAAGAAACCATGATAGTCGACCCAAGTTGGTCATTTTAAACCTGGCCTGTTCCCGGCTCTTCTTTTGTTATGATTTACGTCGAGATTCTCAATCTCCCCAATTTGTTTTTTCCCCACTTTTTCATCTCGACTGAGTCAGCTTTTGATTTCCCCATTCCGTTGTTTATTTTTCCCTCCCCATTCTATTAGTGAGTGTGCTTCTTGATTTTGTCTATCGACAGAATACAGCGGTCCTTCTCTCATTATTTTTGAGGGGTAGACGGGTCCTACTAACATTGTTTTGCTTTCGTTTGACATTTTGATTTTCTTGTCGGGGTTCATATCCCCTCCCCATCATTTCAGGTTTTATTGAATTTTTATGTATATATATAAGAACATTAAAAATTTTAATTCATGCGGTGGTTGGTAGGTCCCCTGTGTATATGAGGTATTGTGGTGTGTGCTGAAGTGATAGATGATGGATGAGTTTTTGTGATAAATATGTAATTGTAATGAATGAATGGGTGATGATTGTGGTTAACTAGGAATAGGATAGCTAGTGAAAGACCAACCTTTGCCGCACGCTCCCTCTCGGCCTTGTGCCACAATTTTGTATTATTTACAAAATAAATACTGACTAGTAGTAAAGGGTACCCAAAAATTCCAACATCTTTCATTCTTTCATTTTCCATCTTCATACTTTTATTCTCTCGCTTCATTCATTCACTCATTCATTCTTGCCTTTGCTTTCTCCACAATTTCATTCTCTCGCTTCATTCATTGACCCTTTTATTCATTCTTTTCCTTTGGTCATACTTTGATTCTCTCGCTTAATTCGCTCATTCTTTCTTTTCCTTTGTTCATACTTTCATTCTCTCGCTTCATTCATTCAACCCTACATTTCGTCTTTTCTTTCTTCATACTTTCATTCTCTTGCTTCCTTCATTCACTCTTTATTCTTTTTCGCCTTTGCTTCTGTCATCCCTCTATTAATTTATTTTATAAGTTCTTTTTATATTTTTCTTTAATTCCTTCCTTACAGTTCCCTTCTACATTCTATCACACTTTCATTCTATTTTTTTAATCCAGTAATTCATTCAGTTTCTCACTTCATTAATTGTCTTTCTCATTCCTTCATTTTGTTCCTTTCCCATTTATTCTTTCGTTTCCTTCATGTAGTCATTGATATTTTTTCTTTATCTCTTCTTTTTCAATCTTTAATTCTTTTTCTTTATTACTTACTTTTTTTTAATTTATTTGTTCTTTCATTTTTTTATGTTCTTTTTTATTTTATTTCCTTCCATTCTTTTCATTTTTCACTCCTTTCTTTTTTCTTATCATTAACATTTTTTCAATTCTGTCTTTTTTTTACACTTTTACTCCATTTCATTCCTTTTTTTCTTTCATGTTGTTTCCAAGACTTTTCTTGTCATTTATTCATTCTTTTCAGTCTTCAAATTCCTTCATGTCTTCTTCATGATTTCCTCGCTTCTTTCTCTTAATACAATGCCTTGTCGATTTTGGTAAAAAAAATTACTTGTATTATTCTATTACTTGTATAAACTGTGAAACAAAAAGATATCCATTTAAATATTATTTGGTAACATTTTTAAAATGAATATCATGTCAAGCTAGCCGAATACTTTCTTATGCCAAACCTAGAATCTGCTATGTTTATCAAATGCACGCTAAACAGATTGACACACCAGTATCACCACTACCACAACGCTGCTAGTTGTGAAATTATATTTCGTTATTTGCCGTTGCAAACATATTTCTAAGAAATAAAATGGAGTTATACTTAATGGTGTACAGCAAGTCTTAAGTTTGGTCCAATTATTTACCGTTCTTTTATAAATGTCGGATAAGGCTGTTCCTAGTTTTAGAAATATTTTTTCATGTTTAAATGTTCGAGTTCAAACTACCTGTTCACGGCCATTTTAATATTTATTTTATTCTTACATCCAACGGCTTTTATTTATTTCCATTTTTCTTTCCCTTTCTTTGTTCACTCAACCAATTTCCTTTTCTTTCTTTCAATTTTTTTAGTTCTTGAATTTTTTTTTATTCCTACTTTCAACGGCTTTCGTTTCTTTCCTTCTTTCTTCCATTGATTTCAACATTTTTCTTCCCTTTTTCATTTCTTTTATTTCCTGTAATTATTTTATTCCGACTTCCAAAAGTTTCCGTTTCTTTCTTTATTTCCTTCTTTCACTGATATTCTTCTTCCTTTTCTTTCATCTTTTCATTTTTTTTTTTACTTCCTGTAAATTATTATTCCGACTTTGAATGGTTTTCATTTCGCCCTCCCCTTTTTTCTTTTATTCATTCCATTTTTTTTCTTTTTCTTTCATTTTTTATCTTTCTGTAGATAATAAAAATCTATTATTCTTGAATCCTATTTGGTTGACGAAAATTGTATCGAAATCCGGTAAAATTAAATATTTCGAAAGCTAATTTTCCAGATAGATACTTTCTGACCATTTAAAGACTAGTACAACGCAATCAACCTCATGTTTCTCTTTCTCTAAATTAATTTTACAAAAGTAAGAAATTAGTAAGAAATGTAGGAACGAATAGTGGAATGCTGAAGAGACTTGTTGTCACTTGATTCCTAGCCAGGGACACAATACTAAACCGAGAAAATTGGATTTAAGAAAAAGAATAAACAAATAAATGCAGAGAAACATTAATGAAGATCAAATGGAATAGCATCAGTATCACTACTACAACGACGGTTTTCGTTGCTATCTGAGTGTCGGGATTTCAAGCATTTAACAACAACACATCTTTTATATGAAACATAAAATGGTTATTCTCTGAAAGAAAAATAGAAGCAGGATATCAATGAAAATAACATTTATATATTCTTTTTAGAAATATACAATAATAATAAAATGTTCAATTTTCCATGCCGTGAAGATTGTTTTATCAAGTAATTAAGTGCTCGCAATCTAGTGTCAAATATAGGAAGATACTTATTTATGACGGTCACACTAATACGTTTGTGAATTCGTAGGCAAGGATTTTACTAAATACATTATAACCTATTTAGAAATTTCTTAATAAATTATTCCAAAAATCGCTTGAGAATGGAACGGAGCTATGGATTTTAAATTTAATTTTATAAGTAAATTTAACATTTTAGTTTCTGCTTTGAAATACGGTAATTTCTGTGCAGCGATAGAACCATATTTCTGAAATAGAAAATAATTATATTATTTAGCTCTACTGTTTTGTATTGAGCACTGTTTTTTAAAAGTAAAAATAATTACTAAGAACAGCGGATTGTAAATATTACTGTTCTTTCTTATTATTTATATATATATATATATATATATATATATATATATATATGACAAAGTCGAAAAAAGTTTACTTGTGACTCGTTTCGCCCTTCAGGACTTCATCGGACTAAATTTCTTATGTTGTAAGACTACACATGCGCACGAACGAACGGTGCTGGGGATTTTAGATTTTTTTAAATGAAAAATAGATGTCTTACAACAATGTGGAGTGAAAGTAAAAGGTTCTGTGGAATATGAAATGAGACGTTTTGTATCCGAAGAATATACTTCTGTGTATCTGATGGAACTGGAAATTGCCTTTCGTATTACGATCTCCCCTTACGCTAACCTGACCTTGAAACTTCCGATTATCACTTATTTTACTCCCTACTAAATTCTCTCAAGAGAAAGAACTTCAGTTTTCAAGAAACCTCTAAAAACTGCTTCTACCTGTTCGTTTCCCAGAAAGATGCCAAATTCTAGCAGGATGAAATCATGAAGCTGCCACAAAGATAGCGAATACTAATGGAACAAAATGGCACATATGCAATTGAATAACTATGTAGAAATATCTTCGAATTTCACTTTAAAATGCTGCAAATTTTTGCTCTGACAGAGTAAATGATTGTTTTTTAAGTTAGCTAACCACCGGGTGTCCATGTCGAGAATTTGTTCAGGGAAATCCCAGTTTGAAATACACTCCTTTTGAATTTTTTTTTTTTTTTTTTCAGTGAGCTGCTTATTATTTTTTTTTTCCAAAGAAATACCACCGGACATTTCAATGACAAAGAAATAATGAACCTATTGAGAAGGCGTGACGCATTAAAATGTTTTTTTGGGTGTGAAAATCTCGCTTTGACTCCGGCCGAAAGTGAAAAAGATAATGATTAAGAATAGACAAAGAAAAATAAAAAAAAATATATATGAAGACTAAATAATTACATTAGAGAAGGTTGTTTTGTTTTCTTAAATTCTAACAGGAATTCAAAACGTAGAGTATTAGAGAGGAAGCCACATGTTCAAATCAGCGTGCGATGTGAATGTTTTCTCTTTTACCCATTTTTATTCTTTTACCATCTGTCGCCCATGGATAGCGAATATTTTAATAGAGCTTTATATTCCTTGAAGACATTCATGCCATTCAGTTCTGTAAAACTATTAGTATAACAATAGTTAGTATCTGCATGGTCAGGCAAAGCATTGTCATTGTGAAGATCGAACTCATTAACCATACTTTAGCTTTGTCTCATTAAGCCAATTGTTGCTAATATAGCAAGTAGAAAGAAAAAGTACCTACCGTAGAGCAATATGCAGCAGGCTTATTTTTACTCAATGAGAATTATACTGTGTTCAGTTCTCATTCAATACCTCACTAGTATGTCCTTGTGCTAATCTAGGAGTAAGCCACGTTTACTAAACAAACAATTAGAACAAGAACATACGACCCATCGCTAAAAGTGCTGGAAAAATGATCAATTTCTAAACAAAAATGCTCACTGTCCAGCCTCCTCAGAGCTCACAACAGTTCGCGCGGTTTTCTGGGTGAAACATTATTTTCAATCCTACAGCCTCTTCCTTCAAATGAAACGTTACTAATCTCTCGCAACTCCATCTCTATTTTCAAGACGGATGTTCGGGCGAATTACATTCATTGCTTCCACCAGGCCTGATTTTTACAGCGTGGAGCTGCCATACCACCTACTAAGAATTAACTCATCCCTATTCTTTTCACATTCCATTAGTAAGGATGAAATTCCACTAAGACAGTTTCTTCCCTAGAAATATTTAATTGTAGAACGAACTTTTGAGGGGATGCTTCCACGACCAATGCAATCTTCAAGTCTAGGGCTAACCCTTATCTATCCTACATATCCTCTTTTGCTTCCTTCTACTGTACACGATTACAATAATCTCATTCAGTCACCCTCTACATTGGGTGGCTCTTGGGCCTTATACTGAGTGAAAAATAGTAAAAAAACTTCTTTTCACCGATGAAATTTAAAAACATTGTAACCAGCAATAGTAAAGGCATTAAGTTTAGAAACATCTAGATCCAAGATAAATATCTTGACCCTCTCACTGCGACCTTGTACCAGACTAAACTTAGCTTAGTAAATATTTTTATTTTATTTCAAGCTACTATGGATAACATGAGAGGGCAGTAAGTGTACTGGCGTCAGAAATTCTGAAAAAGATTTCACTCCACGCTAACGATTCTTGGAATGGCATGATTGTATGACAAAATTAACTGCATTCAAATATATTTATCACATTATGAAGTGAAATAAGTAATATTCCTATGAGCGTCGAAAATTTTACAATACTTTATTAATGGCATACACACAATATTCACGTCCATGCTAGGCCTATTAATGAATTCATCATACCCGAGGATATACCTTGATTGAGTCAAATATCTGATTTTCAAATGTTCTTTTGTGACTGATGTTTAATACAGAATTAATCTTTTACCAGAATCCATCTTGCACATTTATAATACAGCTTTTCATCTGTGCATTGAATATTGCTGCCATATATGGTCGGCTGATCCTGCTATATATCCCGAAATTCTCGACAAAATCCAAATGAGAGTCTGTTATATTATTGGTCCTGACCTGGCATCTCAACTTCAGTCGCTTCGTTGCTTCCCTCCATTTTGTATATAAATATTTTCATGGCAATTGTTCTGATGGTCCCTTCTTCTACTTTGTACTTGGAATTCATGTATTTTTTAAACGTACAATAAGACTGGCAACTATCTCACATAGTTTTATCTTTGAAATAATTAAATGTAACCCCGTTAATTCTATTCTTATAGTTTCTTTTCTTTTCCGAATTTCTCGCACGTGGAACTCTTATCCGATTTCTTGCTTCCATGCCAAATACGTTCTTGACAAATTTAAATGCAACTTCAGTTGAAATCATCTGTCTTTCTGTACCATGTATTTTTATTGTCCATTCTCCTCACTAAAATTTTCACGTTCTTTTTCACACCCTTACTTTTTAGTGACATTACCGCCTTGCCTGGTCCGAAAGGAGAAACGGTGGAGTAATTGATAGCGACTCGGATTGAGTAATCGGAGAGCAGAGTTAGAATTCCAGTCAAATCCATTGTCATACGTGCTAATACCCTTGGGAAATGTATGAATCCTCTTCTCTTTATAGGTAAATAGCAGGATGGCAACTGGTCTACCGCAGAAAGAAATGGCAACCTATTGCGGGAAAAAATCTGCCTCGTTAGTCATGTAACGAAAGATACATGATCGCCTGAGCGTGTATCACGCATGGCACATAAACTGGTTGACTGGAGTGAAATGATTAAAAGAAATGGGGAGGGGGGACCACATTTGACAGTAGAGACTCAGCAGCAGATTTAATCATTAAAACATCAAGTTTAATTCTTCAAGTTTCGGTTTCAGTTGTTTCCTGAATTTTTGAGGCCTCGTGCAAACTCAGTGGAAAGAGAACTTGCAATAAATTAGAAGAAGATGAAAATATCTTGAGGATGGTGGTTTTTCAGAAGTGGCACAAAACCGGAAGGTTGTGGCACCGAGTGAGAATCGAAGTCACTATTCAGTCGTATCCTGAAACATGAACAGAGAAACAGGACCAATCTGTGACGATTAAATAATGGGTTGAAGATAACGGGTTTAAAATTTCTTTGTATGTTACCCGAATTGACCTTGAATTTGATTTATGATTTTATATAATGGTTTCTCTCTTTCTCTGATATTGAGCACTTTTATCCATAAATATAGCATACCTTAAAACTATATTTTTGTAGGGGGGAAAATAGACCCGACCGACTTGGAGTCATTGCGGTAAAGATTAGCTGGCCAAAGCAAGTTGCCGAAAAAGAACACAAGGGGTAACTCTACAAGGACGGAACTTCCATAGTTTACCAAATTTTCTCCGTCAGCCAATATGGAAAACATGTTTCACCGCTATAGTCCGCTAATCTAACCACCTTAAAGCCTGAGACAGGCGTGTAGACCACAGCCAAATCTTGCTTCATACGTCAAGCTATTATATACTGTCATTTGAAACAGTAAGGATACCCCAAAAATATATAGTTATATTTCAAGAATATTATTACTGTTCAGTTATTGATAGTCCTCATCAGAAAAGCAATATCAAAAGTAAGAAAGAAAAGCGGCAGGAACAACGTGAAATATCCCTAGACATGCACAAGCAGAACGATAACAATCTATCCCGTAGATTAAATAAAGGGTTTAATTCGAAATCTTGAAAGTTACACTTTGTTCAAAACGTAATGATAGTAACAACAAAGATAAGGACATTAGACCAAATGTAAATAATGATAAATCCTCATCCCAGAAATTAAGACAGATATTAAAGAGCTGTATTTTGAAAATCATTTTCACGCAATAATTATTGAACTCCCAAAGGGCAAATACAGTTATGCATACCGGGTAAGGGTCACAGGTTTTAATCCCGGGGATCGCTGTAAAGTGAGTTCGATTCTCACCTATATGACAACGCACCAGACTAAAAGAAGATTCGTTAAAACACTGTAATTTTCATGCCGCTGACGGAATGAAGCATTAAAATCTGAGATTTAAAAGAAACTTTATATGCCAAGTAACTCTTCAAGTGATATTGCTACCACGTAGCCTAGTACTACTTGCCGCATAGAGAGCTCCCAGGGCTAGGGCGGTGGGTTACTCCGACGGAATCAGCGGCCAACTGTCCACTAAAAAGGCTAGCCTGCAAGTTGGAAGACATCGTCGACCATTTTTTGACCTGGAGAGGGTAGAACTAAAAAAAAATCTACTTGCCGAGGACACACTATGCATGAATAAATATCTCCTGCTTTCAACAGAGACATGTGGAAGGAACTGGTCAGTTATGTAGCGTCCCTGAGACCACACCTGATCTTATAATGATGATGATGATGATTCGATTCTTTAGTAATTATCTTTACTTCCGTTTCTGCTGAACACACTTGAATCCGTCGAGAAGAGGACGAAAATCTGTTCAACACTTGCATCTTTACCAGATGAGCCACCGCAATTAGAACCAATGAATGTGTCTACGAAACATTTTTTCTGTAAATACACACTCTGTTGCCTGATGAAATTCTTGGCGCGAAACAAAAAGTTGCTTTTCTCTGGGGATATCTCCGAACAAGAACGAAACAAATATATTTATTTGAAAAAAAAAATGACATGAAACTCACATTCGATGCCAAATTTATGTTTGTTTCTGACAAAAAAGATTTTTTCTTATTCAGTCATAAAAGTCTGCAGAAAGATTCTTGAAAGCATTTTTTGCGCTTTGCTTAATGCCAATCATAGAAACATAGATTCTGTCTTAACTCATACGTTTTTAATGCCGTTTCTATATTGCTTTCAACTGTATATTGGCTAAACCCACATTAACACAGAAGCAGCACGATCAAGCCCACTTTCGATTGCTGACTGATCACACCAAACTACGGCCCATTGGCTAAATCCGACTATATAGAATAGTGATTTTCCAAGCAGAGCTTAGATGTAGCACAAGGCCGAAAGTAAGGAGCACCCAGTGAGGATCGAACTCAATACTCAGTCGTAATTATTCTAGTGAGACAAGCTTGCTAACCATTACACCACCTCGAGGTGCCCAACCGACTATATAGAATATGATGCAATTATTGAATAGGAATTGATTTAATCATTTCATCCCAAGCAAGGTAGTAAAGCCACTGAGTGTGAAAGAATAAAAATAAAGACAAACTTTATTAAGGAGCAAGGACAATAAAAGAAAAGGAATCAAGATGTTAATAGATAACGATTGCAGTTGCATTTAAAGACTAGAGTTGGTCAGAAAGCATGGAGCCAAAAGAGAGTTCCAGAAGCGAGAAGAAACTCTTAGCATGAAACTTACAGTTGAATCTAGCAAATTCAACTGTAAATTGGTAAGACCTAATTGGCAATCTAGCACTTCGCTAGATTCATAAATTCAATGGAACATAGCGGAAAGTCCTTCAGAACAATTACCATGGAAATATTTATAGAAAAGGCAGAGGGAAGCTACATTACGGCTGTGGGAAAGTGACTGAAACCGAGATGCCAGGCCAGGACAACAGATAGTTCGGATTCTTTTTTGTATTTTATCAAGAATCCCTAAATATATAGCAGGAACACCAGACCATATGTGGCTGCATTCTTCAAAGCACAGATGAATGGTAGACTTATAAATATGTAAGATAGCTTCTGGCAAGAAAAATTGTCTAGCAGGACACAGTGAACTAGTTTTCTTAGCAATAGACCTAACAATTAATTCAATATATTCTTTGCACTTCATGTCAGCAAAGAATGTTGGCCCAAGAAAGCGCAACGAGTCAGTCCTCAGGGTTAACATCAGCCATGCTGATGGAAGGCAGAAAGGGCGCTCTCTCAGAAGGTAAAAAAGAGATGTTTTATATTATTTATCTATCATTATTATCATTAAAAAAATATTTTGTTTATGAATAATTGAGGCCCCGTTCCACAAGATTTACATCCAGAAGGGATCGAACTGTAATTTAATAACAGGACAAATACAAAGAAGAAACGTTAACTGACATTTACTGATGCCTCCCTGGTAAAGTTAACAGACTTTTACAGATACCTCCCTCGTAAAGTCAACGGACTGATACCTCTCTCCTAAAGTTAACTGACTTTTGTAGATGCGTCCCAAAAGAATTATATTCTTACCTTTTGGCACAACATAAGACAAATTAAATCTGTATATATGTCGGTTTTTTTCTGATCGACATTCGCAATGAATTTTAATCACAGGAAACAATTTATGAATTAAAGATTGACGAATGTTTATTGCAGAATCAAATGATTCTCATTAATTCATCATCTTCAATACTGTCGCTGAAAGTAACATATTAGAGTTTATGGAATTTATTTATTGCTTCTTACTTCTTACTACTTTAAATATTATATTGTGTAGATGCACGTGTTTGGGTAGACTGCCTGCACTACTAAAGATAGACAAGTTTATATCATTTACTTATTTAACAAAGGTTCATCTCTTTTCCGACGCATGTTCGAACCCTGCCGGAAGACACATTTTCTTTATTAAGACTCTCGTATGCACAGTCCGGTAGACATAAACTTACAGTGTTAAAAGACGCATGTGTATATTTTAAATATAACATTTGAAGTGAATAAAGTTATGTTTAATATTTTTCAGAAGGTCTGATGCAATTTATACTATTTGGGGACTTTGTTTGAATATAACGAACCCGACTGGAATTGGAATACAACTTTCTGATTATCCATTACACCATCCACACATCCAAGCTTACAACACCTGGTTTTTCCAAGCGGTCACCCATCTAGGTACTGACCAGGCTAACATTGCTTAACTTCGATGATCGAACGGGAATCAGTGTTTCAATATGATTTGGCCGTAAGCAGAGAGAATTTAGGGAAAAAAATTAATGAAAAGGAAAATATAAAGGAAACTTTTACTGAGAATCCGAATAAGGCAGTTGAAATTTCTGGCACAAATAAGGAGGAAAGAGGGCTTGGAGAATTAGAGTATTAGATTGTCAACAGGGGTCTCGTCAATTACATTTAGTTTGGTTAGATGTAAGCTTAAGTTTTATGCTAACAGTTTCTTTTCTCGCACTCTCACTTCTGGCTTCATGCTTTTCCTGCCAATGACAATCGTTATCTACCATCTCCCTGATTACACTTTTATTGTTTCTCACTCTTTCATGTTTTCTAATTAAAACCCTTTGTGTTTTAGTGGCTTTACTGCCTTGCTTGGAGTAAATTCGATTATTAAAAATGCACCAATCACTGTTTCTAGTCGGAACTATACAATTATGTAAGCTTGTTTTAATAAAATTAACCAGACACAAGGCTAGGTAGGATACTGGGAGAATCGAACTTACTCCAAGAATTAATTAGATTACTCTCTGTTACTCTACTATAGGCGCCTGGCCATTTTAATTGGTTAATTCTGTCTTCCTTGCTATGAAATATCCAAAACCATTTTTCATTCAACAGAAGGTTCAATTCTTATCTTTACAAAACACGGGGAAATTCTTCAGATATGGCATTCAATTTAAAAGAAGAGATCGATCTTGAACGATTTTCTTTTCTTTTCCAGAATTCGTTTTTTGCTTCATTAAGATACTTTTTTTCACCAGCAGCATTAAACGGCGCCTTAACCTGCGTAAACCCAGAGTTTAAATATCGACTCAACTTAGTCTTCTACACTCTTTATACGTCATTCGACTTCGTAATGGACTGAGCTGAGTTGTGTGTTACTTTTGGAAGCCTTGTTCAGGTAGAGGCCTATTGAGCATCGACGCCAATCATCGGCGTTCAAACCCAGTTAATAGCCAAGTTTCAAATCCTGATTTTCTTGGTGGAAAAGCTGGTATCATTCTAAATCCTGACACAAAAATATCTTCTTATCAACGTTTCCTCCTATTTGGCCTCATGTCATACGAAGCTAATCTTCTTTAATGGTGGCTTACAGCCATATCACGTTGAAACACCAGTTCTCCTAATATCAGCGAAGTTAAGCAACATCGAACATGGTCAACACCTAGATCAGTGACATCTTGGGATTATCAGATACTGTATGCTTGGGTGTGTGGGTGGTATAATGGATAAAGGATCGGATTTGGAAATAGGTTCTCCGATTTCCAATTCCAGTAAGGTTTGTTATATTCATTTACGCACTAATATGCTTGGAAAAAAATATGAATTCCCTTCTTCTCCCCCAGCTATGGGTTAATTAATACGACTTATATCAGTAAATAATTATTGTTTCCAAAAATTACTTACGATCTAATATATTTTCTGGCTTTAAATAACCTGGAAATGGTTGATAAGCAGTATAAAACATAAATTGATCAAACAATCATTAATAAATAGTATGTGTGTAACGAAATAGTCGTGCCGACGGGCAGAATAATCTATAACAGAAGACTTGAATCATTTATTGTAACTTTACATTTTATTTCAGTCTAATACTTCATCAATTAATCTCGGCCAGTGTGTAGTGACACCCACGGATCCCAATGAATGGACCTTAAATACCCTTAAGTCGATGTCTGAGGTCCAACTCATGAATAGAGTGATTATTTATATAACTGCTCTATCATAAAACTTGTTCCTACGCCCACAAGAACAAATGCAGCTATGAGAGCACCTGTTTCTGCATTCGGCGGCTAGGAGTATCCTCACGTGAACCCTACGCCTAGCTTCTCTTTTTATTGCGTAGATGGAGTGCAAATTCTTTTCTAACATCAATATTACACGTGGTTAAGGTAATTTCTTCGATCAAACTGTCACCGGTGATCGACGCTCGAATCTAGATAAAAGTTCGGCGTTCAAATATATCTTCTTTTTTTTTTAAAATTAAATAAGCACACCTTAGTCGGAATATCAGCGCAATATAGTCTTACTGCCTTCTATTTTTCCTCATTTGGCATAGTGACGGACAAAGCTGAGTCTTTCACAATGTCAGTAGGAATCAGTTCAGCCCATGTCCATTGAGGTCAGTCTTGTGCTTAGCATCATGTTGATCCCTCAACATGATATTAATAACATTTTCCTTTTACCAAAATTAAACCCTCACAGGACATATTAAAAGCAAGAGAAATGACGGAAAACAATCTGAGAGAGTAGATGGCAGAACACGGGCAAAGTGCCATGATAAAACGTCAACAGATATTTAGGATAACAAAAAGGAAGTTGTGGAGAGCCATGACAATCCACAACTTGAAGATACATGGCACATAAAAGTAGTAAATGGATGACGAATCAAGGACAAAGAGCCATGGTAAAGGGTCAACAGTTATTTAGTGCAACAAAAAGGAAGTAGTGGAAAGCCATTACTGCCCACCTACTGATGGTACACGACACATAAATGTTAATGGATATCTAAACAAAAACAAAGAGTAAACGTTACACAGATATTTAGAGCAAAAAAGGGAAGGTGTGAAGAGCTATGTTCCTCCATTTCTTGAAGGTACACTCCACCCATAAGAAGTTTATTCTAGAATGAGTCTTTCCTGATTCTGGATCGGCAAAATTTTAGTTGTTTCTGAAAATAGTTTTTTCGTCGTTCGTATTCGCCTTAAACTTCCATATTTGTTACTCTTCTTTTCTGTTGTGTCCCTTCAGAACGTGGAAAATCATGACTCTCCACAACATCCTAAGCCTAACTACTCCCCAGTCATCCATCCATTCACACAAGATTGTCAGATAGGAAGCCCATTGCCTTCCTCTGTCTCTTTTGCTTTCGATATGTTATGTGAGGGTCAAAGTTTACAAGCTCTCCCCCCTCTCCTTCCTCATTAAGTGTCTAAGAAATTTCAACTGTTTCTTTCTGTTTCTGAGTATAAGTGTCTTTCGTTGATTACTCACTCTGTCCATGTAAAACCACATTTATGTTGCCTCCAATTTTATCTTGATCTGCGAGGAGATTGTCCGGCATTCACTGTCATATAGAGACAATGAGATTATATAGAAGTTCAGCACTCTTTTATCTGTTTCTTGATTTGTCACATTTAGACCAATTTTCTAATAACAAAAGCATACAACCAAAAAACATTAACTCATTTCTTTTATGATTGTTTTATTAGAAAATTAGTTTAAATATTGGTTGGCTATTTGCATATCATAGCATATTACAGTTATTCAATAAGAAATTAAAAAAAAGAAACAATAAGAGTCAGGGGACGAAACGGGAAAATTCTGAATTAGCCTATTTGTGGTGGTTTGTGGGGGGAGGATAATTTGATCCCAAATCCCTGCTTCTAATCCAAGGTAAAGCAATCTTTTTTGTTCCTTTATTTTACCATTTTTTTTTTAATCAAAAACGGACGGGTATAAAATAAAGCAATATCTGATTTTACCATTCTGTCTATCCAAGAACTATTTTTTTCTTTCTTCTTTCCATTACTCTCTCCATTCCAGTGATGGCATATACCCCGAAACCATTAGTAAATATTAAACACTTTAAATATCTTGCGTATGGATCAGTTATAACAAATTAGTATAGGAGAAAAAGAAATTGAACAGGGAATAGACTGCGCCAAAGATAGTTTCGCCTAACATTGCAAATTACTACAAAGCAGCAACCTGAAAACTGGAGTCATGTTTTTAAATAACCTCATCAAATCGAGATTTTCATATGAATGTCATGCATGGTACCAAACCTATTCAGAAATATTTAACTGTCAACTGAATACAATTTTCTAAGATCAAAAATGAAAACTTGCTTTGAGTAAGTGAAACCAAATGGTCTTGAAAAGACCATCCTCCTTTGAACCTTGTGGACTGGAGCTACAGAATCACAAACAAAGAACTGTAGCAAATAATAGAAACCACATCACTTGAGGACTATCAATAGCATCAGCAACTAAGATTGATAGCACATGTAACGCTAAGAGAAAATGATGACATGATCAAGAGGTTGACCTTGCACACGACATCAAATAAAAGGTTAGGAAGGAAACCCCATCGATATTGGAAAGAGCGATAACAGATACTGTTCTTTTAAAACTATTTTCCCTGAAAAAAAATTAAAAGAAATATCTTATACATTTCAACTAAAAACAGTGCTGATCAAACGTTTCCTTAAGGGAAATGGCTAATATTACCTTTACCATTATCAATAAGCTCTATCTCTTGTTCGTCCTGGTTATGACGATAAACTACATCCGGCAGCAAGGCTTCTGATCGGGAGATTGGTCGACTTCTTAATTGCTGTTGTTTCCTGAGTCCTAGCTTTGAGCAAATAGTGAACCCCCAAATAAAAATCAACAGTACATATTTATAGTAAAATTATCAACAATACATTGTCTGATCACAAAATATACATCTAAGTACATTACGCTACAAGCATAAAATTACGTACAAATATTTAGCTTTAGGTATTAAATATGCCATCGAGGTTCAAATGCCACTAAACAAAATCAATCAGCCAAGCAACCAACATGAAATAACTCTTTTATGGCATTAATTCATAAAATATCCTACAATTTCTTAAAGAAATCTAACTTATTCCAAAATATAACTTCAACAAAACTACAACATAAAACACGTATATATGAAATAAACGACACAGAAAATGATTTTAATTACGACAATGCCGTTAATATTATTTTACGGCATATAAAAATCTTTGAAACAAAAGAAAAGCAATTGATTAACTCGGCGGAACAAAGGAAGAGACTTGGTCCGGGCAATACGGAGTATCATTGATAGTTGCAAATATGAAATAAATAATTTCTACTCCTCGTTGACTTCTCCTCCAACAACTTCCTAGCAGATTTTCTTTTCATTTTTTTTTTCCTTTTTCTCACAGATAATTCATCCCACATTGACGTCTATCTCTCCCATCCTTATTCTTTTCCTTTATCATTCTCCCTTCCATGTCCTCTAC